AAAAACTTGGACGCGATATTTTAGTAAGTTTTGACTATTTTTCGTTAGTTTATGGAATGTTTATTATTTATTTATGAAAGCATAGCTGATTACAGTAAAACCCGCTAAAGCATGTTTTGAAAAATGTCAGTTTTTTGAGGTACTTAGGAGCGATTGGTACTTAAAATAACCCGCTTAAGTACCTCGATGCGGGTACATAAGCGAACATAATTATTGATCTACAGTGAAACTCGCTTTAGTACCAAACCCGCTTAAGTATCCAACATTTTTGGGCACCGTTCAGTTTTTCAAGTAATCTGAAGAAAATCCCTCTCTTAAGTACCACCCCGCTTATTTACCCAACTCGCCTAAGTACCTACATTTTTCGTACCCCATTAACCATTTTAATTTTCCCCTTTTAAGCGCTCTTTTAAAGTTTCCTAAAATATTTACATATTTTAAAATTCAGTGGCAGCACTATCAAATCGATATTAATTGCCACCGTCAGTGTAACAACATGCAAGTTTCAAGTGGCTAAACATAACCGATGATTTTTTAGAATTTTTTGTCGCGTATGCTTCCATATAACGAATAAACACAATTTTTTTATGTAAAGAAAACCGCAGCATCTTCGAAGAAAAAATTCTAAAAAATCAACGGTAATTTTTACTACTTCGAACTTTTTACACTAAAATTGAATTGGGTCACTTCGGAGAAAAAAGTTTGAAATTTTGATGAAAATTTCATGAATTTTCAGTGTTCTAAAAAATTTTAAGCTTAACCCTAGAACACACACCCGGGTACAAATGTATCCACTTTCAACTTTGAAGTGTTGTAACTTTTGAACCGCTATACCTCTATACCGCTAACTCGGATCGGATCTAGGAAGATTATTTAGTTTTGAGTTCAAATTCAAAATTTTAACCAGATCGGACCATTGGTTCAGGAGCTACAGCCTTCCAAACACATTATATACGTAAACACACACCCGGGATACGTTTGTACCCCAATAGTAAAAATCCTCACAATAATAAAAAAAAAAACATTTTTTATATTATTTTTTTATTTGAAAAATTAAAAATATTCATTTCACACATTATATTATTGACTTTTATTATAAAAATTATAAAAATGCATCTTATATCTAAGGAAAATCATGGCAAATAGAGCAATTTGTTGATGTGACCGAATGTTCAAGACACATTGGCTTCTTACATTTGTCGCACAGCTTTCTGGTTTTTCTACGGCGTTTTTCCTCTTGTGCGTAACATAAATAGCAAGATCCGGACACAGGTTTTGGCGTGCGCGCTGCGGCAGATGTTGATGCTGCTGTTGACACCATTGATTCCACCGGTCGGTTGAAATATGCTTCAATAGCAATTTTAGTCGAAAAATTTCGCGTCACTTGACGATTTATGGCTCTGGCTTCAATAACGGGCATACACAATGCTTCAGCCAAGCTGCGCAGGATCTGCTTACGCTTGTTGTTTGTTCTCCAAGGCAACATAGGGTTATTCAAATCGTAGACAATGTAGGCTGCAAGAGCTGTAATGTCCAACATGTTGAAGAACATCGCTAGTGGCCATCGTTTTGTTTGTCTTTGTGTTGGATATTCCGCAAACATTTGGTCCATTCGATCAACACCACCTTTGGTACGATTATAATATTCAATTATTTCAGGTTTCCCACTGTCAGCTATTTCCGCATCATTATGCATGGTCGAAAGCAAAATTACTGCTTTATTTTTTTTTGGGAACATAAGAGCACATTGTCACATTATTTTTGAAGCCAAATGTCGTTGAACCAATTGTCCTGTTTTTGTTCTGCTTCATTTCTTGAGGAATATATGATTTGTTTTTGCGCAAAGTTCCAACGATCGTGAGTTTCCAGGTGAGAAGCAGTTCTGCAACTGGCAAGGTCGTAAACAAATTGTCCATTGTAATGTTTCGGCCACTTCCTTGGTATTTGGCAGACAAATCCTTCACCACTCGTTCGCCTTGGTTCGTTTCCCTACCAGTTTCTGCTTGGCCAGTATATATTTGTCCATGCAGTGGATATGCATTTGTGGCATCGCAAATCCACCAAACCTTGATACCATATTTAGCAGGTTTTGACGGTATGTACTGCGTAAACCGTGTGCGTCCACGGTAAGGAAATAATTGTTCATCAATCGTCAAGCATGAGCTGGGCTTGTAATGTGCAGCAAGATTATTGTTCATCATCGTCCACAACTCACTGATCGGTGCTGCTTTATCAGTTAGTAAGCGTGTTGCACGAGTGTTTTTATCGTCAAATCTTAGGAACCGCAATATCGAACAGAAACGGTTGACTCCCATTGTGGCGTGATATAAAGGATAGTTTTTGACGCTCCATAAATCTCGAACATGTTCTCCATTGCTATGGTTCGCACCAGTCATAATAAGTATGCCAAAAAATGCGTCCATGACTTAGGAGTTGTGTTTGAATGCGCATTGTTGTAAGCATTATAAGTTTCTTTTGCTAACTTATTTGTGTGGCGCATAATTATATCAGCCATTTCAACGTTCATGAAACATTTGAATGTTTGCTCTATTGACAACATTTCAGTGCATCTAGCTGGTCCAGAACGTTCTCTTATAATATTTTGTCTGAGTACCTGACGACTTACATTTGGTTCTTTTATCCACTCAGTACCACCACGTGCAACAAATTTTTCGGCACTAGCAGGTAATTCATTATTTTCTTCTACTTCTTCTTCTTCATCGTCTTCTTCATCATCCTCATAGTCCGCATAATCAGGTAATACTTCTGCGGCACTTTGCGAAACTTCAGCATCGTCATCAGCAATTTCAATGTCATTGATTTGAATTTCTTCTTCATCTTCTCAGTCAAAGTCATAGGGAGCGTCATCGTCACAAATTTCATCAAATAAAGATTGTATATATGATTCTCGCTGTTCCTCAGTTAGCCTGCATAATAAAAAAAATTAGTATATGTTTACATTGTTGCTTATTTTACATTTTTTACCTTCTATATGCTGCACTTGATAAATATTCGTTTCTTCTTGAAGTCATTTCGTATCCAGTTATTTATAGTTTCAGTTATATTTATTTTCACTTCTTACACTTTTGAGCACCAAAACAATAATGAAAATATCAACAGGCAGCATTTATAACAACACCTCGTGTGAAAACAACCCTTGCAGCTGCATATAAAATACAAAAACCAGTTATACCAGTGTATTTGCTACCTACGTACCCATACCTTGCGCGACCTTTTTGCACATATCTTTTGAACCAGGTAGAATATTTCAATGAAATAAAAACCAAAATGTATATTCGTTGTTACTCTACAAGCATATTATTATAAATTATATTATTTTGTTTTGCATTTATCAGGACAACAACAAAAACAAAAATCCACTGTTGCATGTCCTGACTTTATTTGCCCATATCGCTGGAACCAGTAGGAATATTCGAATGAAACAAAAGACAAAATACTTGTTATATATTAAAATATACATTTAAAAAAAAAAATCATAGAAATCGGTTGAATAAGCATTAAAAAAACCGCAAAATAAGGTCCCGGGTACAAACGTATCCCGGGTGTGTGTTTACGTGGTATTTTCTGGGTGTGTGTTCTAGGGTTAAGTTTATGTGGTATTTGTTAGGCAATGAACTGTATTTTAATTGAAAAATCTTAAAAATTAATACACATAAGCGGCAACAGTGTAATTTTGAATTAGTTACAAACTGTATGTATAAATATGTATAATCAATGACTTTTTAAGGAATTTAATTATTGTAAAAATGACAAAACATTGCTTTATCTATTTTTTGATACACTTTTTTTTATGTGTTTATGTGTTTAAATAATTCTACGATGTTGGGTTTAAACTACGTATACTTCATTAAAAGTTCATGTTTTATTCAGGGATTTGTTTATGTAAGTTAATCATCAATTATCTTCGCCTAAGTACCCGCATCGAGGTACTTAAGCGAGTTCTTTTAAATACCCAACCCGCCTAAGTACCTCAAAAAGCTGACATTTTTCGTGAGGTACTTAAGCGGGTTTTACTGTAGATATTATTACATGCATATAGTGTGGAACATATCATTTTGAACCAAATTCAAAACGATATTGTTTGTCGCTTATGTTTATTTATTAATTTTTAAGATTTTTCAATGAAAATTCCCCAAAATATGCCATATATGTAAACCTAAGCTAAAAAATTTTGTAGAACATTGAAAATTCATCAAATTTTCATCAAAATTTAAAATTTTTTTTCTCACTTGAAACTTGATTTTTTTACACTGATGGTGGCAATTAATATCGATTGGGTAGCGCTGCCACTGCATTTCAAAACATGTAACTATTTTAAGAAATAAAATAAAAGCGCACTTAAAAGGGGAAAATTATTAGTAAAATGGTAAATGGGGTACGCAAAATTTAGGTACTTAGGCGGGTTGGGTAAATAAGCGGGGAGGTACTTATGAGAGGGATTTTCTTCAGATTACATAAAAAAATTCACGGTGCCCAAAAATTTTGGTCATTTAAGCGGGTTAGGTACTTAAGCGTGTTTCCTTGTATAATCAATGAATTCTTAAAGAATTGAATTAGGTACAAATTGTTAAAATTACATAAC